AATACACATGTATATTCACTGAACATACCAGGTACATTGTCAGAACATACACATGTACATTCACTGAACATACCATGTACATTCCCAGAACATACAGTGTATTAACTCTGACAGATTTCTGGGACATGCATGGAATGTTCATAATGTAACTCATATATGTCCCAGGAATATGCATGTACATCACATGAATGTTCCAGGTATATTCTGGGAATATCATTTTGCTATGTGGGATGATTGTAATTTTTTTAATTGATTTAAAAAAGTAAATAACTTTTTGGACCACCTAGTAGAGCGTGAACTGGTTTTACCTGAATTCCTTTTTGCTGGGCATTGTAACAATCACCCGATTATTTGGTGCTTTACGTAAAATGGTCGCACAACTGCCTGCCGCGTGCACGTAAACTCCACCCTGCCCTGGATATTTTTCAATGCAGTGCACTTGAGTGCCCATTGGCAAAGCTCCTATCGGATGTGCATCGCCTTCTTTCGCCCTCACTGTTTATAAATACGCAAAAAACAGGTTTATTGTTATGGTTTCAGTAAGTTCTCCTACCTGGTATTCGAGGAATGTTACATGAAGTGCATATTAGATCTCCAGCTTTCATATTTTCCGTTGCGAGGATATACTTGAGTCGGTCTCCGACAGCTACTAAGGCCACATGAGCTGTTCTACATCCATCTTTAATTATTTTGATTACTTTTTCGACCTAAAAATTAAGTCATCAGTGCGTTTCTATGGCAAAGTAAAGTCAGGTCTATAAGTATTCGGCTCGTCTTTACGAATATCGACAAACTGATGGGTACTGATTTTAAACATTATGCATTCAGACAATTTTTGTATAAATTTGCAAAAAACTTGAAACTGGTTTCAAACATAATTGTGCTTACATTTAGGAATGTTTTCCGGGCTTTGAAGCCGTGGTCTATCGGAATTTCTTCCTGACGTTTCGTCCACAACTGCGGTGGACATTTTCAAAGGCGATGAGGCAGTGGGCGAAGTGATCTCCCGTGCTTTCCGACTAAGAATGATTCAACTGCTGGATTCCCAGTCGTATTGATGCAGCCCAGCCGTGTGTGCTCATGCGTGGGGGATAGGTGGGGGTTCCAACGCTTCGGCGCACATGCTGTTTGGCGCAAAACGCGCTTCCAATCTGGATTGAGTGCCGTAATTTCTTCTTTTCTGTTAAAATTGTTTTGGTGTTTAAATATTTCGATGGCCTCCCTGGTGAGTCTCGGGTAGTATCTTTCAGATTGGTGCAGAATGTCAACTTCGTCGAAGCGTATTTGGTGGCCGTCTAGCAGTGCGTGCTCCGCTACTG